AGTCAAACTTTTCCGAGGGAAGGACGATTCTACTTGTACTGACATCATCCCAGTTTGAAATTGATGAACTTTTCAGAGGAAATAATTGTGTTCCTGTGGAGTGCTCTGACATCTCAGATTGCTTGGCACCTTGATATTAAACTTGGAGGCCACTTCGGTCACTACTTGTTAATGCACATGGAGCCAGGAAGAGATCAGCAACTGAAAAGTATTTTCCGAGAAAAATCAAAGATACTCATTTGGAGTTTTAATAAGAAAACCCAGGAAAGTGCAACAAGAAAATAGCTAAATAAACTCCCATTGTATCATGTTTAATCTTTTTCCAAGGTAGACAGGAAAGAAGCTTAGATGGAAAATAAATTAATTTTATACTGCATTACGGACTTCATATGGTATTAGCCAGGATCTTTAAAAGGCACATTGGTTTTATCTGCTTTGGAATGAGAGTAACTAAGAAGTTAAAAGCTAAACCTAATCGTGAGATGAACTGAACATCCAATCACTTGAAATCTTTGACTTGAGTCTTATACTACTGATCACATAACTAGCCTTTTTCAAGTTATCCTCTGTACTTTTCTGAATAAAGAGCAGTTAGTTTACTTTTCAGTAAAATTTTCCCCTAGACAGTACACTTCTGGGTAAGTATTTTGAACTTTTTCCATGGCTATGTGTTAGTATCTATTTTACAATCATGTTAACTTTAGCAAGTTTCTCTGTGTTCCATTTATTGCTCCATGCATTTGCTAAATTGAATGGTTAATGTTTTGACCCTTACATTATCTGACTTTTCTCTGGAATTGGGCTCTATTTAACGTTCTCCTTAAAGTACTAACTTCCACATCCAAATGTGTTCATTTAAATGCTTACTCAACGAATCCACGTGTGTGTTACTCAATCAGCTCAACCTCCTGTGGGACCTAATTTTATTCTCTAGCTCTTATTTCTCTTGGCAGGTTGAGTTTGCAGTTGTTCTGCCGCCTTCCAAGTCTAGAGTCATCGTCCAGCCTCCGTCACTTTTCTCTCCCACATCTAAGTTTTTTACCGATTTTTCATTGTACATCTCACAGCTGTTTTCATCCTTTCATTCCCATTGTCAAATGCTGCCTTGGGTCAGGTGCTCATTACATGATTTTTAAAGGTCCCCCTGACATTATTCCTTATCATCCATCTATCTACAATACTCCACGTAAATAAACATAAAATGCTGTACTAATTTTGTTACTACTCCATATACTACTTCCCATAACTTACACAATAAAATCTAAGTTCCTTTTAAGACTTTTTTTCATATTCTTTTTCATTATTTTTTCATTTCATTTTTTCATATTCTATTTCATTATCTTTTTCATTTTATTGCAGGATATTAAATGTAGATCCCTATGCTCCACAGTAGGACCCTGCTGTGAGAACTTTTAAGATATAATACAGCTCATTTTTTTTGGAATTTTTTATTTTGTATTGGGGTATAGCTGATTAATAATGTTGTGATAGTTTCAGGTAAACAATGAAGGGACTCATCCGTACATATATAGATATATATTCTTTCTCCCCAGACCCCCCTCCCTTCCAGGCTGCCATATAACATTGAGCAGAGTTCCATGTGCTATACAATAAGTCCTTGCTGGTTATCCATTGTAAATAGAGCAGTGTGTACATTACCATCCCAAAGTCCCTAACTATCTCTTCCCCCCAGCAACCACAAGTTCATTTTCTGTCTGTGAGTCTGTTTCTGTTTTATAAGTTCATTTGTATCATTTCTTTTTAGATTCCACATATAAGGCATATCATACAATATTTCTCCTTTTCTGTCTGACTTACTTCGCTCAGAATGACACTCTCTAGATCCAGACATGATGTTTCAAATGGCATTATTCTGTTTTTTAATGGTTGAGTTATATTCCATTGTGCATCTATGTACAATATCCTCTATCCATTTCTCTGTCAATGGACATTTAGGTTGTTCCCCACTCTTGGCTATTGTAAACAGTGCTGCAATGAACATCAGGGTGCATGGATCCTTTCAGATCGTGTTTTTTCTAGATATATGCCCAGGAGTGGGATGGCAGGGTCCTATGACAGCTCTATTTTTAGCTTTTTAAGGAGCCTGAACACTGTTCCCCATAGTACCATTGCCCAATTTTTAATATTCATTTACTTTCTCTCTTCTCCATCTGCAATTTTTATAATAGTAATCCTAACCTACTTACTTTGCAAATTCACTCTTATGGACTAAATATTTGTGTACATTTAAAACCAAGATATTGAAGCCTTGATCCCCGACGTGATGGTGTTTGGAAACCTGAGTGTCCCCCGCTGCTGTGACATGGCCAAAACGCAGCACAGTCGCTGCTCTCTGTTCAGATTTCTCCTCGGTTCCTCAGCTCCTGGTCCAGCTTATTTTAAATGTCAGCAAATGCCTCTGGGGAAATACAGTGAAGAAGGTCGGGTTCGACTTTCTCTTCTCTCACTGGTCTCGGACCCTCAAGTTTGGCCGCCCTGGCTGCTTTCTGATGTCACTGAACAGATTTTTCTTTTGCAGAGGGGTGGGGAAGTAGGTGAGAAGTATTGTTTTAGGTGTTGCTTTTCTAATTCTTTCCTAATTTTGGAGGATACAGCAGGTTTGCTTTGCTGAAGTCTAGTCCCTCGTAGCTGGAAACACAAGTATCTGCTAGAATATGCAAAAGCAAGTCCCAATTACTGTCATCATTTTGTCTGTACATATTTCATCATGTATTACTAGTAGATATGATATGTTTAATTAGTTTAACACCAGTCTGTTATCACAAAAATAGCCATAATTACTTAATACAATCTAATATGAAGTCTATATTCAAATGCCTAAAAAAAAATGCCTCCTGAATTTAGATGTAAATGAGGCCCAAATTTTGTGTTATGTCAATGTCTCCTTTAATCTATAACAATCTCCTCTCTGTTTTATCTCATCTTCATTTATAATAAAAAAAGTAATCATTTTTTTTTCATGTAAAGTTGCCCATCTTCTCAATTTTGTTGATTGTATTCTTGTCATTTAACTTATTCCTCCAATTCCTGTATATCCTGTAAATTGGAAGTTAAGTACAGAGGTTTGATTATGAACAAATTTTTGATAAAAATATTTCTGAGTATTCTGGTAAATTCTTATGAGCCTACTCTTAATGTTATTCTGTATTGATCAGTAGATTCGGTGCTGTCAGCATAAAACATTTTTAGGTGAAAAAAGGCATTGCCGAAAACCTACAGTACATGTCAGTTTTGCAAGTCCCACATACACTGTGGCTCTCTTCGGGTCGTATTACCAGTGGTTTCATTTTGTTTAGAGTGTTTTAGTTATAATTACAATTTTATTTAGTTTTTAAGGACATATAAATTCATCTCAGAATATTCAAGTACTGTTAGAGGAACAGCACTCAGCCTGGAAGAACTCGCATGAGTAGAAAGAAAAAAATAAATCACCTTTTAACAAGGTGGAGTAAGAGAAGCATCCCCCAGAGGTCTCACCCTGACCTAGTAAGCATGAAGCAGAGGCTCTCCAAGGGTAGGTCTACCTGTGGTGAGTGTTGTGGACAGAAAGCCATGTCCCCCACAAAATGCACGTACTGAGGTCCCAACCCCCACGGTACTAAGAGGGGGTCTTGGTGAACAGCTGGGCTCTCCTGAGTCCTGCTTAGCTTCTGACAGCCCTTCTCCAAGAGGACCATCACCCCACTCTGCTTCCATCCTGGACCTGAGCTGTGCCACACAAGGACAGACCTCTCACTCTGGGGGTGCTGTAGTTTCCCTTCCAGCCTGGGAGTGAAAGTGCGCACCTGCTGGCTTGGATGGGGGCCTGTGGAGCATTCCCGAGTGTGTTCATTTTGCCAACTGTGACTTAGACCACCTGTCTACTCTCCTTGTAGCCATATTTTGTAGCTGATTTTTCTCTCTCCCAGGCTTCCCCGGTGGCTCAGTGGTAAAGAACCTGCCTGCCATTGCAGGAGCTGCTGGAGACACGGGTTTGATCCCTGGGTTGGGAAGATCCCCTGGAGGAGGCCATGGCAACCCACTCCAGTATCGTTGCCTGGAGAATCCCGTGGACAGAGGAGCCTGGCGGGCTACAGTCTGTAGGGTTGCCAAGACTTGGACATGCTGAGTGACTTGGCATGCCCACACATTCTCTCTCCCAAATTAAAAAATAGAAAAGAATCTCTGCCTGATTTCAGCTCCTTGTTGACCCAGAGCTACTAAGAAAGCCAGGTAAGAGATGGTTGGGTCTAGCCAAGATAAGACAGGTTCCATACAGGCTGGACTTTGCCCCACTCCACTCTCCAAGACCAGTTACCAATTCCTACTGGGCACAAAGTCCGGACTGAGGTGTTAGCAGATAAGGTTGAGGTAGGAGGGCCTTGAAGGCAAACAAAACGTGGCCTTACCTCTGAAGGAATTCACCGTCCAGTTGGAGAAATCACAGTGACACCAGAGTTGACGATGTCAGGAGAAGACATCGCATCTCATTGCTTTGAAATGCGAGCCGCTCTTTACTCCAGCCGCTCTGACAAACCCCTACCTGTTTCTCCGACCCATCCGTCTGCCTCTCCTTTGCTCAATGTTGACATTAGTCCAGTAACCATTATTGAAAGGAACCTGGGAGGTGGGGCTCCTCCAGGTTGGGGGAAACAAGATCAACGCACAAAAGGATCAAGTGAGGGATGGATTCAGAGAACAGCCAGTACAAGACGGTTGGACGGTATCATCGACTCGATGGACGTGAATTTGCCCAAGCTGCAGGAGACGGTGAAGGACGGCAAAGCCTGGTGTGCTGCAGCCATGGGGTCACAAAGAGCTGGATACGCCCCACCGGCTGCACAATAACAACATGGTAAGAACAAGGGTTCAGGGAAAGATGCGAGTAGTAGGTCAGGAATGAACTAGACAAAAATATTAAACCAAAGGTCATCTGTAAATCTCCTTACTCTCCTTAACGTCACACCAAGGAAATAGGATGGGTAAGCACACTTATGCTGTCACTGCATCCTGCTCCCACTTGCGGGGTTATGTAACCTAGTCACGGCAGAGACGGAGGTGCTGCAGACCTCGTCCTGGAACGAGATGGACCGGATGAAGCACAGGACACAGTAGAGATGGACTCCCTGGGCAATGCTCCAGACCCAGAGCCTTCTCCCTGGCCCTGTGTGCCCCGTGACACGTTCTGTGCCCACACGAACTCTCCTCTTCATCCTGCCCCCACGCGCCCCCTCTTGGCCCAACATCAGGCTGCTCTGATTTGTCCCATGAACTGCTGGGCTCCTTGAAACCTGTTTTCTCTCCTGCTTGAATGACTTCTAGTTTTATTCATTCATGTCTTTACTTCTTACTGTATCACTCCTTAATAACCTAGTAATTTATCCAACTGTGGTGCTAGTGGTAAAGAAATTGCTTGCCAATGTAGGAGACATAAGACATGGGGGTTCCCTCCCCGGGTGGGGAAGATCCCTTGGAGAAGGAAATGGCAACCCACTCCAGTATTCTTGCCTGGAGAATCCCATGGACAGACGGTCCTCGTGGTTTATTGTCCATAGGGTCACAGAGTCGGACACGACTGAAGTGACTTAGCATGCATTTAATGCTCAGGTCTCTTTTCTGAAAACTTGTCGTATTTTTCCTAATATTTTGAATTTTCATCAGAGATTGCAGTCCCCACAATTAAACAACATGATACAGTGGTTCACAGACTGGCTGTTAGAGCCAGACTGCCTGGTTAAATATCCTACCTCCTTCATTTAGCAGCTGTGAAAGCTTGGCCCTGCCTCAGTTTCCTGGTCTTTGAAATGGAGACACTAGTAACAACCACAGAAAAACTGGTGTGAGTAATAAATAAAAGATACCTATTAAGGTCTTAGAACGGTGGGAAGCATAGATTTAGCCCTCACTATATTTTAGCTGGGCTTCCCTGGTAGCTCAGCTGGCACAGAATCTGCCTGCAAAGCAGGAGAACCTAATTTGATTCCTGGGTCAGTAAGATCCCCTGGAGAAGGGATAGGCTACCCACTCCAGTATTCTTGGGCTTCCCTGGTGGTTCAGGTGGTAAAGAATCCACCTGAAATTCGGGAGACTTGGGTCCAACCCCGGGGCTGGGAAGATCCCCTGGAGAAGGAAATGGCAACCCACTCCAGTGTTCTTGTCTGGAGCATCCCAGGGACAGAGGAGCCTGGCGGGCTACAGTCCACAGCATAGCAAAGAGGCGGACACGACTGACGCAACTCAGCACAGCAGTTGCACATTTTAGCTATTTTAACTATGATTATGTTTAGTCTGATACGTCATCTCCAGACTGAAAAGTTGTTTTCCTTGTTAGCATGTGCAGGCATGTTCCTTTTACATTCAAGGGCGGGGGGCCGGCTCAGTCGCAGTAAAAGGAGAAACAGCATGTTGGTGCTTGGATTTTTTTTCTTTTTGAGGCGGTGCTACCCTTTTGCAGTAATCTATGCTGCCGCCTGCTGGAACCCTCAGGAACCGTTCCCCTCACGGGAGGAGGTGAAGAACCTTGCCGTGTTGTTTGAGATAATTTCACATTTACACAAAATAAAGTAAAAGATATGACTCGAAGCATTCAGCCATCCGATGTTCATCTGAGCAATTGCTCTCACTGGGTGGCTCTGTGACTAGCTAAATGAGATCTTAAAATGCTCGGAAAGGCCATGTGGTCTGTGAAAAGGCCGATGTGACTATGAGCCTCTTCGTATTTATGATGATGACTGTAAAGGCTCTCTTAGTTACAAAATCCATGCTTCAGGGGATATTTTAATGAAAAGTCGAGTGTGACTGCATTTTTAAATTAAGTGAATTTAAATTATTGATATCATAAAACTGTTTTCCTCGTGTTATTTAGAAATACTTGAGTATCAAATGAGAAAATGATTCAACAAATAGGAGACACTGAGATTAAGCATCAATAATCTCTATTCAGAATGTTAGGGAAAAAATATGAAATATATATTTAAATGTTTTCCCATTGTTCCAGGAGTTATCAGATGTCTGCTTCACAGAGTTTAGGGATGTGTAATGAGACCCATATTTTTGTTTGTGCTATGGCTAAATGCTGAGCCAAAGTGAGAGATAAATTCATTTGGACGCCTGGAAAATAATATTGGAGAATTTCATAAGTAAACCTTAGAAAACATAACTCCTCGTGTTTTAAATTTGAGTTCAGTTCACTCACTCAGTCATGTCTGACTCTTTGCAACCCCCACGGACTGCAGCACGCCAGGCCTCCCTGTCCATCACCAACTCCCGGAGCTTACTCAAACTCATGTCCATCAAGTCGGTGATGCCATCCAATCATCTCAACCTTCGTCGTCCCCTTCTCTTTAAATTTAGTTAACCCCAAGCAGAACCTTAGAACAGGTGACATCTCTCATAAGCATTTGAAGAGAATGTAGTACCTGTCCCTTGAAGTTGGAGGGTTGAGACACATTTCAAAGACTTGGTAAAACTAGCACATTAGCCCGTATCCCTTAATAATCACTAAACCCTTGCCTACTGGATTCTGACCGGAAGGAGCAGGGTTAGGGCCGAGCACAGCAGGGGACACCAGGTTGCAGCTCCATTCCTGGCTTTCCTGAAGATGTCTGTGCATCTGGGCGCACCTCTGCCCCCCCCAGGGCCCAGTGAAAGTTCAGTTTTACTAGAAGGATGGGAATTTATGTAAATAAATGTGAGAGGGAGGAGTAATGAACAGCTTTGAAACAGGTAACCCTGTTTCTGGCTTCCCAAGTGGCGCTAGTGGTAAAGAGTCCGCCTGCCAATGCAGGACATGCAAGAGACATGGGTTCGATCCCTGGGTGGAGAAGATCCCCTTGAGGAGGAAATGGCATCTCCAGTATTCATGCCTGGAGAACCCCATGGACAGAGGAGCCTGGTGGGCTACAGTCCATGGGGTGGCGAAGAGTCAGACACGACTGAGCAGGCATGCGAGGACACTATTTCCACTCTCACTCCTTTTCAACGTGTCCTCCACGGTGGAGGCAGAGAGAAATTATCTAGCAAGCCAGGCTGACAATCACTTCCCTTTTAAAATCTCTTCCTGACTCGGCATTGCCCTCAAGTGAAAGTGAAGTCGCTCTGTCGTGTCCACTCTTTGTGACCCTGTGGACTGGAGCCTACCAGGCTCCTCCGTCCATGGGATTCTCCAGGTGAGAATACTTGGAGAATTCCTTCTCCAAGGAATCTTCGCGACCCAGGGATCGCGCCTGGGTCTCCTGCATTGCAGGTAGATGCTTTAACCTCTGAGCCACCAGGGAAGCCGCCATTGCCCTCAGGGTAAAGGTAAAACCCTCAACAGTATCTGTTGATCCTGTTCTCTTTGCCTGCACCTCTGTCTCTGCCCACAAGTCCCACCCCCGTTAATCACTCTTTCTCAACTTAGACACCACTTCCGCAAGGAAGCCTCTTTCCAACCCTTCTGTTCTCCCAGTCCAAAGACTCATAAGTTATTGAAATTCCTTTGCTCATTTCCCCCTGTTCTCTTCTGAATCTGCAAGAACCAGAACCATAAAGGCAAGCCATCTCACGGTCTTGATCACTATTTAATCCTCAGTTGTCACACCACTCCTGGTACACAGCTGGTGCTTAATAAATATTTGTTAAAGGATATAGATGGCTCATCTTTAATAACTCGTGAAGAAAAATCTCTTTTTTGAAAATTTTTCCGTGATTTACACTGAAACCACCTCTTCTGTGTGTTTTCTACAAACCATAATAGGGCTCAAACAATAGATTTCTCCCTCAAATTAAACAATTTAAAAAGCACATAGATTTCCACTGTTTTTCCTCCCTGAGTTTCTTTTCATGCATCACCGTCTTTCTGACACTGGGACCCTGCATTAGAACCATGCCTTTGTACTTCTTTCTGAAAACTCTTCCCTGACCCCAGAGAGTGGATGAGATGTCTCTCCCATGAGCTCCTGTGCCCTCTCGTCTCCAGTCTTTCTGTTGAATGAAACCAAGAACTCTTTAAGACAAGCACAGTGTCCTGTTGTAACACTAGTGTCTAGCATAATTTATGTCTGCCCAATTATTTAAAGATAAACATACAAGTAGTTGGCTCGGTGGTAAAGAATCACGCCTGCCAATGCTGGAGACATAGGAAATGCAGGTTCGATCCCTGGGTTGGGAAGATCCCGTGGAGAAGAGAATGGCAGACCACTCCAGTATTCTTGCCTGGAGAATTCCATGGACAGAGGAGCTTGGTGGGCTGCAGTCCCTGGGGTCACAAAGAGTTGGACATAACTGAGCATGCACGCAAGGAACATACAAGTCAATGAATATCCAACAGCAAACTCAACAGAAGAAAATTCATTCTTAACCAGTAGGTGGCAACAGTGGAAAATGTCAAAAGAATATCCCCTGGGATATGACCAGGAAGCCTTTGGTGTGAGGTCTGCAATTGGGCTACCAGTTTTCCCAGAGAAAGTCACCTTATATATTAAATTTATTAATATAAATTTAGCTACTCTTGTCTAGATGCCTTCCAAATTTACTGCACCTTTTCCCAGCTCCAGAAACCTGAACTGGTTTAATTATTCCATTTGTAATAATATTTTTGTTGGCTCTGCTTTCCCAGGAGCCTAACTTGTAAAATACTTATTTTCAAAGAACTGATAAAAGCTTTTATATAATTCCTTATCTAATTAAGCTATAACTTTAATACATATATGATGCATGCCCCAGTTTGAAAGTATACTTCCCTATTTCTGAATATTTGTAGATTTGGAGAAATTCTGCCCTTAACAACAACCTGATATTGGAGGAAAATGAATAAGGAAGCAGAATATGAATGTGAACAACTTTCCTTTTAGGTTTAACCAGAGTCCAAACATTCTAGAAGAAAGAGCACTCTGCAGTAAAATTAAGAAAGAATGTTCCTCTCACGTTTATTTACATAAGTTCTTGTCTGTCTAATAAAACTGTTTATATTAGTGCTTCTCAATATTTACAGCACAAATGAATAATTGGAGATCTTGTTAAAATGTTGCAGGGGGGTTGGATAGGAGCCAGAGGTCCTGCATTTCTGACAAGCTCCCAGAAATCTGATGGTCCTGGACTGTGAACCACAATCTCAGCTGCTAGGACATTTTGTTGCTGTTCCATCAATAAGTCAAGTCGGACTCTTTTCAACCTCATGGACAGCAGAACACCAGACTCTCCTGTTCTTCACTGTCTCATAGAATTTGCTCAAAATCATGTCCATTGATTCGGTGATGCCATCCAACCATCTCATCCTCTGTCGACCCCTTCTCCTGCCTTCAGTCTTTCCCAGCATCAGGGTCTTTTCCAATGAGTCAACCCTTCACATCAGGTGGCCAAAGTATTGGAGCTTCAGCTTCAGCATCAGTCCTTCCAATGACCATTCAGGGTTGATTTCCTTTAGGATGGACTGGTTGGATCTCCTTGCAGTCCAAGGAACTCTCAAAGAATCTTCTCCAGCACCACAGTTAGAAAGTATCAATCCTACGGCACTGCTGCTGCTGCTGCTAAGTCACTTCAGTCGTGTCCGACTCTGTGCAACCCCATAGATGGCAGCCCACCAGGCTCCCCCGTCCCTGGGATTCTCCAGGCAAGAACACTGGAGTGGGTTGCCATTTCCTTCTCCAATGCGTGAAAGTGAAAAGCGAAAGTGAAGTCACTCAGTCGTGTCCGACTCGCAGTGACCTGATGGACCGCAGCCTACTAGGCCCCTCCATCCATGGGATTTTCCAGGCAAGAGTACTGGAGTGGGGTGCCATGGCCTTCTCCATCTCCGGCACTAGAGCACAATTATTTCCAGCACTTTAAGGACAAGAAAACCTGTGCCTGTGTGTCAGGGGAATCTGACGGCCTCGGGATGAGTCTTAAGGGTATGAATATGTCTCAGTTATATTTGACTTATCACAACACCTTAAGCTATTATGTCAATTTATTTTTTTTGCAAAAGCAGTTGTTCCCTGAAATTAATGTTAAATCTCTTCCTAAGTTAGTCCAACCAGAAATAGTCTAGTTACGCATTACAGCATAGCAAATGCTCCCCAAACTCAGAGGCTTTAAATAACAGTCATTTCATTGTATTTCACAATTCTGAGGGCCAGGAATTCAGGCAGGGCCCTCTCCTACTCCCCAGCTTCAGGGCATCTCTAGATGGTGCCTTCAGCAAAGCAGCTGGATGCCTGACAGAAAGGTTCAGGCCTCGGGATCAAGGTAGGAGCTGCCAGTCCTCTTGAAAGCAGTCGTGGACCACAAGGGCATTACTTCCATCCAGGCTCTGTCAGCCAAGGCCATCACAGGCCAGCCAAGTTCCCAGAGAAGAAGCAGACCTTCCTCTGGCCTGGAGGGCTGTCGAGAAATGTGCGTCCATCTAGGATCTCCCGCAGCCGCCTGACCTCAGAGATGGCGTCACGGAACCAGCGCACGTCTGAGTCTCTGTCTCCTGCAGGAGGGAGAACTGGAATGTTTGTACCGATTTTTCCTCCTTAAAACTGGTCATGTATTCCAGGTGAATTTCTTTGCATCTCTCCATTTCACTTGACTGTTAAAATCGTAAGATGGAACTCATTTAGGTTTGCAATACTCTTGTTAGTGCTGAGATATATACCTCCCCCCGTCTCAGTTTTCTTCTTATTAAACTGAGTAAGAACTTATGTGATTGCTAAGCTTCCTTAGAACTCCATGATTCCAAGATATTTAATCTATTTTGTCGTCTCAGGTATAATATACTTGTAGTAGTTTAAAGAATTATTTAATATATTTAATATCTCAAAAGTATACCAATCCAAATTTAAAAAGTATATACATGTACTTACATATAAGTTTACTTAATATATAGTATGTACTAATTATATGTAACATATACTGTGTATTAATTATATATAATATGTATTAATTATATGTAATATATAACATGCATATTTATACCCTAACTCTCTGCCTCAGCTTTATTTCCAGCAAGTTATTCAAGAGCTTCTGCATAATTTAAGTACTGCTTACTTAAAGATTTACCACTTTAATTACAGACATTCTCCCTCTTTGAAAATCCTTTAGATGTTTAGGGAAATCTGACAGCCCATATGATTTATTTATATAACAAAATTTTAAAAGCTAACAAAGACCTTCCTCAGCTCAGATTATGATCGACTACTTTACATCTTCCACCTTTTCTCATTTTCTACAAAACACTCTCTTGCAGCCACAATTTCCAAAAAGTCAGAGTATTGAAAAAAATTGCACCCATCTGCCTCAACCTCTGTCTCCCTCTAAAGCTGAGTGATAGTGAATCGTTGGATAGACATTCAAACCTAAAAAAGGGAAGATAAAAGAAGGTTACATTATCGAGGTATGTCATGGAATTTTCTAGACATTTCTTTAAAACTACTGGTGTATACTGACTTTGAAAAAGAATGAAAAAAGCATGTTTGTATAATAACTCAGGTCACAGAAAGAAAAGGTCTGGGATTAGAAGAATCACACATCTTCAGATGCCTACGTTTCAGGCGAGGAATGAGACGCCTGATGAGAAGAGGATATGAAAGGAAAGCTGAGAGGGCGGGATGGGGAAAGTCCATGTGCAGGAAGAAGGAAAGGGTGGAACACGGGGTCTGAGCACTCAGCGGGCTGATGCCAGCCAGGCCCTGCAGGCACCTCTCAGGAAGAGCAAGCGCTCGGAGTTGATGTGCCCAAAGTATCATTCGTCCCGTCTGAGATGCAAAATGGAAACGTTTTAATGATAGCTCTTAAACATTTGTTGTTGCTGTCCAGTCGCTAAGTCCTGTCCGACTCTTCGTGACCCCATGGCCTGTAGCCCACCAGGCTCCTCTGTCCATGGGATTCTCCAGGCAAGAACACTGGAGTGAGTTGCCATTTCCTCCTCCAGGGGATCTTCCCAGACCGGGGCTCAAACCTGCATCTCCTGCAGTGCAGGCAGACTCTTTACCACTGAGCCACCTGGGAAGCCCGGTTCTTAAAGATGCGTGGTTTGATCCCCACATTTGAAAAGTAAGCTATCATAGCTGAGTTGTGGCCCTGCCACCCCCATTCATGCGTCGAAGCTACTTTAGGATGTGCCTACTTGAGAAGGGCATTTAGGGGGGGTGATTATTCAAAACGAGGTCCTGGGGTGGGTTCTAATCCCATCACACTAGTGTTCTCATCAGAAGGGGACGCACAGAGACAGGGAGGACACAGCCGCCGAGGAAAGACCAGCCGAGGCCCTGGAGCACCCGGCGGAGGCGGAGCCGCTCTGTGTCTCCGCCATAACACGACGCTTCTCCTTCCGTCTACACCGTTCGGCAAGATTGCAACATCCGCGAACCTCAGTTTCTTCCTGTTGCAAAATACTGACAAAACTACCTCACAGTGTTCTGGAAGCAGTTCTGGGAAATGATGTTTTCAGTCTGCTGATGGACGCGGGCAGCATCTATTCTATGTGAGCCTTGAGCAGAACAGCGAAGGTGCAGGCGTACACGGTTTTCAGTCCCAGTTCCAAAGCCAAGGAGGGTCTTAGAAAACACTCCTCCAACCCATTCTCCATGAGCCTGGAGCCCCCTGTGTCAGAGTCCATCCTTTCAATCTCTCTCCCCATTTTCTCAGTCAGAGAAACGCTGAGTCAGAACACTGCTGACTTTTAAAAATGCACAAGGTGAAGGTTGTGAGTCGAGTTTTTATGGGGCAAAATGAGCACTATAGCCCAGGAGATGGCACCCCAGGTAGCTCTGAGAGACTGCTCTGAAGCGGTAGGGGGAAGGTCAGTATGTATGTGGTTTTGGCGACCAGGAAATGCACGCAATAAAGCACTATTTTTGCAGAATGTTGCTGCTGGTCACCAGCAGAAGACATCACCAGGAAGGAATTTAGTGCTTTTCTAGACATGAAGAGATACAAGAATTGCACTCATAAAATCAGCCCCTGAGAATATTTAAAACTGTCTGAAGACCTGTTCTGCCAGTTTCTTGAGAGCACAGAGTGCCTCATTTCTGCTCTCCACCCTGAACGTTTCAGGGGCAGTTGAAAGTCAGCAGCTGCAGTAGCACATGATTTCATCCTTGTAGAGGTAGATGGCGAGCACCCATGGCAAGTGCTAATTTGTAGTTGACAACACCCAGCACTTAATACCATCTTCAAGGGTACAAAAGTCTACCACACACTCCGCCAGCAAGTCCTATGGCCACTTCTATTCAAAGGTCCGAAAACTAATAAGTAGCATAGAATTTTTTTTACCATCTCTTGTTTTCCTCTTACACTGCTATCTGTTCCATCAATTGCTCATGAGCAACCTTATGGAATAATATTTAGCTAGCCCCTTCTGGACACTATCCCAGTTTTCCAGTCTAACACTACTAAGATAAAAATACAAATTGAAGAGTGCAATAGTACATAATATTTAATCAATTAATGATAGGAGTTCGCTATATAAAGTATAAGTGGAGTGGGAAAAATCCCCCCAAAATAGAGGTAAAAGATTAAATTTCCCTCAAAGACCCATAAAGATTACTATGACTCTAGATAGAGTGCCTAAGTACCAATTCTTTTGTGTTTTTTTTTCAGGCTAGAAACACAGTCGGAGTTCAGAGAAAAGCAAAGTTAGAGAAGGCTGTTGTGAATGAAAAATGTTGCCTGCCATTGGTTGTACTGTTGATTAGTCGCTAAGTCGTGTCCTATGCTTTGCCACCCTGTGGACCGTAGCCCACCAGGCTCCTCTGTCCATGGGATTCTCCAGGCAAGAGTACTGGGGTGGGTTGCCATGCCCTCCTCCAGGGGACTTTTCTGACTCAGGGACTGAACCCTCGTCTCCTGTATTGGCAGGCTGGTTTTTTACTACTGAGCAACCAGGGAGAAACTTATTCTGATACACTGTACTACAAAATCAGGTCTTTGTTTAAAGGACTTAAAAAACGTGTATGCAGGGCTCATTCTCATATTCTACACTTCGTATTCTATTTCATAGTCTGGGCCCAGTCACCCTCTCCCATCAGCAGAAGGGCTGGAGGGCAGGTCTACAGGCCCTATTTGGTCTCAGCAAGACCACCAATTAGAATGGATCAATTAGAATTAGAATCAGATTGTACCCAACAATTTACAATTAGAATAAAACATATCTCCTTTTTTCCATTAGCAAAAACTTGTGAAATAATGAAGAAATCATTAAAATGGAATCTGAAAAACTAAATCAGCCAAAAGAAAAAAAAAAAAAGGGCATATCTTATGAATTTTACCAGGAGAGAAAAATAAGACTTCAGATTTTAGTGTTCAATTTCATTTTTCACCATCTCATTTTTTTTTTTTCAAGTTCATATGAATTTAATTTTCCTGGAACTTTTCCCTTGGTGCGAAAGTACTAAAAAATCCAGAAAAACACAAAGACAAGAAAACACTCATAATTCTCTCATTTACACGAATTCATATTCAAATTTTGTTATATGATCCACAGGTTATATTTTTTCCATGCAAGGTTTTTTTTAAATTGCATACTGTTTATATCCTTTTCCAGGCTTCCCTTGTGGCTCAGCTGGTAAAGAATCCACCTGCAATGTGGGAGACCTGGGTTCAA